CATCCCCAGTGGTGGGGGAGGGGGGTGCAGGAGGCAGTTGGTCAGTATTTCTCTCTCATCAATCTTTCTGGCTCTCTGTCCCTCTTCCTCTCTGTAAAAAAATCAATAATATATATATACCAAAAAAATTAAGAAGAAGAGAAAAGAAACGAAACAAAAAGAAAAGAAAAGAAAAAGAGCTAGGGTGCTGACCTAGACCATGACCTCCAGTTTGGCGTCTCAAGCCTGGCTTCCTAAATGTGCTATTGTTTCCCATGCACCTTAGGATAGAACAGTTTTACCTGGAGTCTATGAGTAATAGCAGACAAACTAAATGCATCTCTGAAGAAGCTTTCTGAGGCTGACCCCATAGCCCAGGGCCTGCTGGGAATGAGAGACCCTCCTGAAGTTGATTTCACCCACAAGGACCGCACAGAGGCTTTATGTGCGGACGCCGGCTGCCCTCTGATGGACAGAGTTAAAAGCAGCAGGAAACCTTGGAAAACTGTTGTTCCCACTCCTTCCCAATGAGAACAATAGTTTCGCTTTAGTTTGCAAAGCGCTTTCACAGTCTGTGTCTTTTGTGAGGCTTCAGACAACCCGGCAAGGTAGGCAGGCCAGGAGTGACCCCCAGGCCAGGCTACCTCGCTGCCCAGATGAAGATATGGGATATAGAGAAGGTAAGCCCACGGGGAGCCAAGAAGTGAAATGCAAGGCGGAGGGTTCTGATTCCAAAGCCCCATCATTCTGACTCCAAATCCAATCTCCACTTCTGATTATGCGTGAGAGCCACCGTGGGGCATTGGTTAGGGTTTCCTGATCTTAGGCACCAGCGCCCGGGTATCTGGCGTGGGGCTGGAATCTGGGTGCCCGAGGACTGCCTTTGGAGTCGCTGCCTGCATCCTGTGGCCTCGGATTCTCCACCTCCACGCTCTGGGGCTGTGCGGCTGTGATGATGGAAGACCACAGACCTGGGGGCTTATAAACGGGAAATGTCTCCCGGTCTGGGGGCCGGAAGTCCAAGATCAAGGCAAACCGCAGACTTGGTGTCTGGTGTGGGCCCAAGTGTCAGCTCACAGACGGCCCTCTTCTCACTCTAACCTCACACCGAGGGGGCTCTCTGGGGTCCCACTCATAAGGGCACCGATCCCACTTACGAGGCCTCTGCTCTCATGACCTAAATACCTCTCAGAGGCCCCACCTCCTGATTCCATAACATCAGGGGTTAGAATAGGAACATACATTTGGGGGGACACAACATTCAGTCTGTAACACCCTTTTTCCCCAGATGTTGAGTCTGATATCGTCCTCCCTGGATCCCCTCACCTACTACAGCTCAGCTCTCTCGTGAGCTCGTGTGCCATGCGCACCCCATACGCTGTCATTTCGTCGCCCGCAGTCCTAGCAGCCACCCCTCCCATTCACAGGGGGGGTCTCCGGCAAGCTGCCACTGAGCCAGGATGTTACCCCAGACTGTGGCCACGGAGGCCACACCGTGTGGCTCTCTACCACACTGCACTCTCTCCCCCACAGAGTATCCCGGACCCCTCAGTCCTGTCTGACTGTCCAGTCACAGAACAGAACCCGAGGGCCACCACACCGACAATGACTAACCTGGGCTAAAGATGAACCCGTTCCTCATGCCCAGGCCACACCTTTCCTTCAGCTCCGCCCACTGGGGGGGCAAAGCAAGGAAACACCCAGACTTGAACATGAAGACAGATGGCAACACCCTCCCTCACCGGGGACCTGGGTACAGAGAGGGGACCCCAAATCGGGATGCTCTGGGGCCCTTCTGCTCCAGAGTCCAGGAAGAATACCCAGAGTAACCTAACACATTTCTACAGTGCCTTTTCCACTCTGAGAAACACTCCGTCAGAAAGTAAGGTCACGTCAAAGGCTTAACTCGGAAGGGAGGGAGAGAGAGAGGGAGGGAGGGAGAGAGGGAGGGAGAGAGGGAGGGAGGGAGGGAGGGAGGAGGGAGGCAGGGAAGGAAAGGGAAGGGAGGGGAGGGAGGGAAGGGAGAGAGAGAGGGAGGGAGGGAGGGAGGGAGAGAGGGAGGGAGGAGAAGGGAAGGGAAGGGGAGGGGAGAGGAGGGGAGGGGAGGGGAGGGGAGGGGAGGGGAGGGGAGGGAAGGGAAGGGAGGGAGAGAGGGAGGAGGCGAGGGAGAAAAAAAGGGAGAGGAGAAGAGGAAAGAAAGGCAGGAGGGAGGGAGGGAAGAGGAAAGGGAGGGAGGGAGAAAGGAGAGAGGGAGGGAGGGAGGGGAGTTTATCCAGGAGAGCCCAGTGGTCTGTCAGGGGTGCACCCACCTCGGACTCCCAGAGCCTGCGCCTGTTGGGCTGCTCCCTAGGCTCCTGAAGGCAGGGGCTCCAGGGAGGAGAGGCAGGCGTCAGGGAGGGCTCTGGGCCCTGCCTTCTCACACACACCCCATCACAGCAATCATGTGTTTACATCTGAGTCTCATGTAAGATTGTGTTTGAGGGGAGATGTAAATGGTGCCATGAGAAAGGAAAGAAAAAATGAAAAAAGGAAAAGCAGGATTCGACCCAACTCCTCACAGTACAAACACCCCAACCCAAAGGACCTGACCCGAAGGACTTGTGTGCATGCACATAGGCATAACCGGTGGACGCAGACATGGGGAGGCAGGGGGCCCGTGAAGGCATGTGCGCGGTGAGGAGGGGGAGGGGAGGCCGGCAAAAGGTCAGGGGGGGGGGAAAGGAGATATATGTACTACTATTTGTTTTAGTTTAAACAATAAAATAAAATAAAATAAAAAAATTAAAAAACAAAACAAAAAAAACCCTGACTCCCAGGACATCGTCGCTGAGCTGGCCAGGCCACCTGACAGTGGAACCGGTGGAAGAACTTCCGGCACCGAGGCTGGCAGCGCACGAGGCAGATGCAAATCATGGGACAACCGCAGCCTCTGAGAAGGGGCTGATACCTGGGAAGGGGGTGCCTGAGCGAAGCTGAAGGATGAAGAAAGCAGGGTCTCTGGCAGTCACCGCTGCGATGTGTGAGGCAGCTACTGGTGTGGGCCCGAGTGTCAGCTCACAGACGGCCATCTATGACAAGCATTCAGCACACCCCACAAAAGGAGTTTCACTCATTCGGGGAGACAGCCTGCCCAGGTGCTGAGCTCCCATGACTCTGAGTCCCACACCTGATCTCCTTTAATCTCTTCTCCCCCGAAAAGCAAGCAGGGTCAGCCCACCTCACAAACAGGGAAACTGCGGCTCAGTGAGGCTGCCAGAGCTGCCCAGTGTCATGCAGCTGGGAATCAGCGAGGCGGGGATGGGAACCAGAGTACACCTGCTCCCGCCCCATGCTCTCCCCACAGGCCCTGTCCATTAAATGGGAGCAAAAGGAGATTGGGATTCTGAGCACTTGTCCGTCAGGGCCAAGCTGCGGCATCTGGAAGGTTCTTCCCTGCTGAGAAACGTAATTTCACTTAAGGTGTTCGTCCCAACCATGAGAAAACACAGTTCTCTCCTCACCCTCCGAGTCAGGGGCTGCACGTGAACTAGAAATGAGAGCCGGCCGTGGAGCGACAAGCTGAGCTGTGCTGCCGGCTGGTGTTGGGAATACCAACAATGAGGGGGGCCCGTAAAGGGGGGGAAACGGGAGGAAGTCCCTCCTGCCTTCTGAGTAGTGATGTTCCCCACCTGGCCTGCACACACAGACCCCATGTACATACAGATACACACACACACACACCATACATGCACACATACATTCACCATGGATGCACAAATTTGTGCACACATGCACACAGAAGCATGTGCACACACCATGCACACATATGCGTGCATACACACATACAAATACACATTCATCACATGTGCACAAATACACACGCACACACCATGCACACATGTACATTCATAGTGTGCATACACACATGCCAGGCACACATATACACATACACATACATACATACACTTGTAACTATCACCACCAATTTGTGTCTGACACATGCTCATGTGGTAAAGCTCCCCGGTTCCCAGTGATTCCTTCCTTCTCTGCACGCATGCCACCCTGTGGGCTCCAAGCAGAGACGTCAGCCCTCTGCGAACTCCACTGAGCCCAGCATGGCTCTGGCAGAGGGAGACCTAGCACCTGCTCAGCAGGGCAACACAGAAAAGGCGAGCACTTGCATCTGATGTTCCAAAGCGAAGTTGTATGGGGAGCAGAGCCACATCCATGGTGGTCAGTTTTGGGGTGAGGGCTGCCCCGTGCATGCTCTCTACCTGCCACGACATCGGCTGGGTCTGGGCTCCACAGTCAGAGCCAGTCAGTCCTCGGAGAAGGGGGGCCTATAGTCATACCCTGGCTGCGGCAAAGGCACACGCAGAGAACACAGCAGAGGACATCAGTTACCAAGCAGAGGCCCCGATCCGCTGGGACTTGGCTGGTCCGTGAGGATAAGGGCCTGTGGTGGGGGCTCCCAGGGCCTCCACTGGAACAGCGCCCTTTGCACCCCTCCTTCCCGCTGGATGTTCTCATGGGGTCACAGGCCAACAGTGTGTATGGTCCCTGCTTATCCTGAAATGACACTTGCATGTGATATACTGAGACATTAATATACCATTTACATACCATTTTTTTTTAAAAGGCCATTGAATGCCAAAGTAACAATAAAGGAGAAGTGAGAAGAAAGTGGCTTTTCAACACGTGTATTCAGTCTGAGGGAACGTGCAGGCCCAGAGGCACGGGAAGCCCATGACATCATCAGCTACGGGTGTGGACTTGAGGGGAGGGATAAGGTCAGAAGCCATTTCTTTTCTTTTTTTTATATATATATATATTTTATTGAATTTTTTATAGAGAGGAAGAAAGAGGGATAGAGAGTTGAAACATCAATGAGAGAGAATCATCGATCGGCTGCCTCCTGCACACCCCCTACTGGGGATGTCCCCACAACCAAGGTACATGCCCTTGACTGGAATCGAACCTAGGACCTTTCAGTCCGCAGGCCGACACTCTATCCACTGAGCCAAACCGGTTTCAACCAGAAGCCATTTCAAAGGAGTCTGGGAAATCAGAGGAGTTGGCTCTATGTAAACACCGGCCTGTGCTCAGGGGTAACTGATGAGAGTCTGTCTGACTCAGTTCGGCATGAATGTCGTGGGATTTCCACAATCCTGTGAGACGTGGGGAGGAGCTTCATCGTGGGATGCCCCAGGCATGGGGGCATCAGCTTTCCCGGACTCCACCACCCGTCCCCTCCATTGTGCAGGGCCCGGGGCAGAAGCACCCCCTCTGAGACCAGGAAGGTGGGTGGGGACACCAAGGGAGGGGGGCTGGCTTCCCTTGTCAGCCGACCAGAGCCGGAGCCTCCAGGCGGAGCACACAGAGCTTCTGAGCTTCCACAGAAGAGGAGTGGGAAGCCTGGAGGAACTCTCCCTGTCTCCCCCGCCACCACCAGGCTCTGTCTCCACAGTCAGAGTCACCCCCAATCTAAGGGAGCACCTCGGCCTGCCCTTGACTCCCCTCCCTGACACACACACATGCACACCCTCCGTCCATCCAACACAGCAGGTGTGCTTTCCCCTTCGGGAACTGGGGCTGTGAGGGGCACTGAGCCTACGGCAGCCACATTGTGAGGAAGCCCAAGCTGCACGGAGAGGCCGCTTGCAGGTGCTCCAGCTGACAGCCCGGTGGAGGTCCCAGCCAACAGCCACGCCAGCCCCAGATCTCTGGTGACCGGCCTTCAGGTGATCTCAGGCCCTGCCCCGGAGCCATCGCAGCCTTCGGGTCTTCCCGGGAGGGGTCCCAGGCATCACACAGCAGAGATAAACCCTGCCCAGGATGGCCGTGCCTGAATTCCTGCCCCACAGGAAGTCAAGATCTAGGATAGGAAGGTACTTCGTGCCCGAGCGCCCTCCTTGGTGTGCGTGAAGGGGCAGCCGATCCATGCACAGAGGAGCGCCTGGCCCAGGGAAAGTGGGGGCCACCCCACAAGCAGCCAGGCATCGCCTTTGCTCTGTGTGTCCTGAAGGGTTGCATGGAGTTGAGCTGTTGCAGGTGAGACACAGGATGGAGGCCACCAGCAGAGTTCCGGAATGCCCTGTGCTTGGAAGATGGTGAGGCGAATTCTCTGGAAGGACAGACAGACAAGCCAGCGTCGGTGAGCGACTGTCCAAAGCAGCCAATGATGCGTGCGCTCCGAGGCCTCGGCCGTCCTCCCGGTGGGTGTGAGCGGCGGGCTGGGGGCAGCGGGGCTGAGTCAGAGGATGGTGCAGCTGCAGCAGAACCGCTCAGGGTAGTCGGCCGCGTACACCCGGTGGTCGGTGCCGTAGATGTAGTAGACGCTTGTCTTCCCCTGGTACCAGTAACTCACCTCCGTGAGCGGGATCAGCTCGATGGTCTGGCGCTGAGGAGACAGCCAGCCGGGGAAAACCTCAGGGCCCTGCTCAGGCCACTCTCCTGCTCCCTACCACCTGCGGGCTGCACTGTTTGCTCTGGAGTTGGCATCTTGGCTGCCATCTGCCTTTCTATCTGTGCCTCCCACGACATTCCTACAGAAACTCTAAGCTCGGGCCCAAGCCGAACCCTCTGGTTCTAGGTGCCATGCAGTGGAGGCACAGGCATCCCGGGGGGAGGAATGGGGTGTAAGGGGGAGTCACCGGCCAAAGGGGACTTCTCCCAGAGCATTTATGTCAGGTGGGGGTGGGTGGGGAGGAGGGAGAAAAGTAGAGGAGAAAGTCATTTTAAATACTTTTATATTACAACAACCATGGACATATTAGGAAGTGGTTATACCATTTGAATTGCATTTCAGGATAAACATTGACACCAAAGAAATTCCAAAGTTGGTAGGCTGATTCAGGCAATTTTCTCAGACCCCTGCCCTCTCTTACCATGGTTTTGCATCCACCCTCCTTTGAGAAAAGTCTCAAATATTCCCCTCCTTTTACAAATAAGGCCCTTGGGCTCATGGGATTTCCGGTTTGGAAGATGTGAGGTCAAGCTCCAGCTCCTCACCATAGCTGGACCTGTTCAAGGCTCAAATCTCTCCCAGCATCCTCCTCCGCCCAAGAGCCTGGGACACTCCCTCCCTCCTACAGCATGGCCCTAAAGTCCCTCCTCCCGTGGCCCCTTCTCTGATCAGTGATTCAACGACCTTCCAAACTGGAGGGGTCCTGAATGGGACAAGCAGCCGCCCTGGGTGAGGGCGCTGGCCTCCCTCTGAGGCACTCGCCTCCATGAGCTGTTTTGTAATGACAACTGCAGATGCGGCTGACCCAGCACAGTCACCCCTGGTCACTGAAGGGAAGCATTCCTGGGGACATGCTGTGGGCTAGGCTTTCCGTCAAAACCCTACGTTCTTCTGCACTGGCTCTGCCCCTGACCAAGACTCAGGTTTGGGATCTCGAACCAAGAGGGAGGGAGGTGGCATGGCCCTCTTACTTCCCCTCCTTAAGTAAGGAGCCCAAGTCCTGTTGCTGTAGGTGGTGGTTCAGGGCCCGGGGGGGGAGAGGGTGTTAGGGGATTGAGGGGAGGCATGGCATTGCGGCAGACGGGGGATCAGAGTCAGGGTGTGCGTTTCCACAAAGCTTTCCATGGGATCCCACACTTCCTCTATCTGGGCCTCGGTTTCCTCATCTGTGAAATGGGAACAAAACTTCTCTGTCACAGGGTTGCTTAGACAACCAAATGAGACTGTGAGACTGAGACTTCTCCACATGCCAGAGACTGGTCTCCAACTAATAACTTTGGAAATAAAAGACCTCCCTGGACATTTTGGTACAGAAGGTTGTTCATGGTGGCCAAGACATGGAGATGGCCAGCGTGTCCTTAGATAGATGATGGATAAAGAAGATGGAACACGTACACAATGAAATACTACTCAGCCATAAGGAAAGATGAAATGCTGCCATTTGCCACAATCTTGAGAACATTATGATAAGCAAAAAAAAAGTCAGGTGGATAAAGTCAACAGCCACATGATTTCACTCATATGTGGGATATAAAACTAAAATCAACAAATAAGAAACTCACAGACACAATGATGATGATCAGGGGGGGGTGGGGAGGGGGAGACTGAGGAGGGTAAAGGGGATCAAATACATGGTGATGGAAGGAGACAAGACTCTGGGTGGTGAGCATACAATGCAATCAGTATACAGGTGTATTTAGAATTGTACACTTGAAACCTACATAATCTCATTAACAAATCATTCCAATAAATTTAATACGATTTTTTAAAAAAGAAAAAAAAAAAGTTGTCTCATCCTTACAAACCTCCATGAGGCCATTTTAGCATTTCTTTTTCCCCAGGTGAGAAACAGCTTCAAAGAGGAGAAGGAGGTGGCCATGGCCAGGTTAGACTGCACAAGAGCCAGGATCTGAGCCCCCCTGACAATCCCCTTCCCAGAGCTGGCCCTGGGCATTCCCTGTCCAAACCTCACCCTCCATCCAGCAGCTTCCAGCCAGCTGCCAGGAAGCCTAAAGCCACTCCTGGGGACACGACGGGTACCACTGCCATCCATGGGCCACTAGGATACAGCACCAAGGCAAGCCCAGCCCTGGGGACGTGGACGGCACCATTGCCACCTAGTGGCCACAAGGATACAGCACCAAGGCAACCCAGCCTGGCTGCCGCCCCTGCCCCGGGGAGGCTTGGGGAAGACAGGCTGGGACTTGGGAAATGCCCTGGATTCCCACCCTGCCTACCACCCTGGATTTGAGATTTCCCTTCCCCTCTGAATATCGGGGAGGTTTGGGTCAAAATCACACTGAGCCACCTCCCTGCTCGAAACCCTGCAGTAGCTTCCTGTCGCTCTCAGCATAACAATCAAACCTGTCACCACGGAATGTGTGGCCCGTCCCGCTCGCTGCCCCGGCCACGCTGGCCCCAGCTCGTCCCCCAGTCCACCTCGTGTTCCTCAGACTGAGACTCCCCTGCCTCCTCAGGAAGGAGCCCCAGGCAGAGGGAACCTCCCTTTCCTGGTCCCAGACGCGGCCTCCGCCTGGCCCGCTCACCTGCTGAAGGACGCGGGCCCTGGAGGCCAGGGTGGCGGCGCTGTGCTGGGCGATGCCGCGCTGGGAGGCCAGCGAGATCTCCCGCAGCGGGAAGTCCGCCAGGGGGTACACCTGCGGAGAGACACGCACCGCCTCGCTGCTGGCCGAGTGCCGGCACCTGGAGCCCCCGGGCGATGGGTTTCAGGTGGACGGAGCGAGCCCAATTGGGAAGGGCCCGAGGGAGGCCACGCAGCAAGCCGGTGGGGGGCTGAACCCTCCAGACTAGGGGTGTCGAACTCAATCAGAGAAGGGGCCAAAATCTAAAATCCAGCCTAAATCGCGGGCCGAATGGTTTACTGAACAGTCATAAACTGTCATTGTGATGGAAACGCAGCGGAGTGCAGTGATGACAGCGCGGTGCGGGCCACATTGCAAGGCCTGGCGGGACGGATTTGGCCCGCGGGCCTTGTGTTTGACACATGTGCTCCAGACCCTCGATGACCCACAGCCTGTTGGGAATGCCACTGAGAGGGGGCCGAGGACACAGCACTCCTCACCACAAGGACGCCACGGGACCCCAGCAAGGCCCTGAGGCTGCCTGGGGGGGCCGGGGGGGGGGGAGTGCGGGTTCCCAGGAGAGTGGCGCCTGCCTGGGCCTGGAGGAAGCGCAGCGATGGGGCAGAGGAAGGAGGCTGAGAAATCCTGCTCAGCCAGGGGAAGAAGGGAGACCTGGCATTCCCACCTGGAGGGGATCATGCCAAGTGAAATAAGTCAGACAGGAAGACAAATACCCTATGTTTTCACTTGTATGTGGAACCTAATGAGCAAAGCGGCCAGACTCATAGATACAGAGAACAGATTGACAGCTGCCAGAGGCCGGTGAGGGGTGGAGGAAGGGGGCAAGAGGAGGTCAAGAGACAACGCTTGCGGCTATAAAAGAAGTCCCAGGGATGTGATGAACAGTGTGGCAACTGTCGTAAGTAATACTGTGTTGGACACATGAAAGCTGCTGAGAGAATAGATCTTACAAGTTCTCGTTACAAGAAAAAAAAAAAATGCCAAATAACTATGTATGGTGATGGATGTTAACTAGACTTCTCGTGGCGATCATTTCACAATATGTACATAAATCCAATCATCGTGTTGCACACCTAAGAGCTAATCTAATGATAAATGTCAATGATATCTCAATTTTTTAAAAATGTGTAGGAAAGTGAAAGAAGCCAATCTAGAAAGGTCACAATACTGTAAAGAAGAGAGAAAGAAAGAAGAAATAAAAGGAGGCTGAGCACCTGACCCCTCAGAGCAATCAGCACGAGGACCCTGCTCAGGCCTCCCACCAGGCAGAGCTCTGCCGAGGCCACAGCAGGGCAGGCAAACCCTTTCCGTAAAGGGCCATGGCATCTGTACGCAGGCTCTGCGGGCCATCGCCCTGTCCCAGTGACTCTGCCCCGCAGCACAAAGCCAGCCACAGACAACACCTAAACCAATGGGCATGGCTATGTTCCAATAAAACTTTATTTATAAGTGCAGGACAAGGGCCTGGGACAGCCCCTGGCCCACAGGACCCTCCCTGACCTGGCTGCTGGCACAGCTCGTGTCTTAGTTCCTCGCTCCACCTGGCTGTCTGCCCTCCAGCGCCCCTGCTCTGCCACTCTGTCAGGCCTCTGCGAACTGTTACGTCTGCCAGGCACCCTCACTCCCACGGCCACCTGATCCACCCCCACTGTCACCCCCTGTCCCGCCCCCCTACACTTCCGGCCTCCTCCCCTGGCTGCGTATTTCTCAGTGACTCTTACTGCCTTCCGACACTGCGGTCCATGCTATCATCTTCTCCCACTCCAGACTGTGACATCTACGAGGTGAGGATGTTGTTGGACAGAATGGTGCCTCACACAGGAAGGGGGTCCCCAAGGTTGTGGAGGGAGGAAGGAAGAGGAGGGGGGAAGGGAAAAGGGAAAGAAGGGTCTGGTATGTGATGTTCAAGGAGGACTGGCCTCCTGGGGGTCCCCGAGGCCTCTGGCCTGACCAGGCTGCTCTCGTCCCCCCGGCCTGTCCTTCTAGAGCAGGGGTGGGGAACCTCTTTGCTGCCGAGGGCCACTGGATACTTACAACATCACCTGTGGGCCATATAGAATTATCATCTTAAAAATTAGCTTGCTATATTTGGGCAAACGTTTAACTCACCCCTCATGGCTGGGCAGGGCCAGACCACATGATTTCATGGGCCGTAAGGGCCCGAGGGCTGGACGTGCCCCCTTATGGACCCCCCCTCCCCCCCATTCTAAATGAATGCAGCGCCCACAGAGGAGAGAGAGGAGCCAGAGAGGCGCACAGCTTGGTGTGGTGCTTGCACACCCCCCTTACCGTCGTGTTTTCGTCCTTAAAGAGGTTCTCTCCTTTGGCTTTGGCTAGGAGCTGTGCGGGGCAGTTCAGCCGGTGCTCGGACACAAACTCAAACAGGCTGTTCTTCCTGCAGGTAAAGCGCACGGGGGCGGCAAGAACGTGGGGGTGGGGTCAGGCAGGCCTGGGCTGCAGGGACGGGGCAGGTTCTTGACCTCCCTGGGCCAGCACGGTCAGCTGTGCACTGGGCAGCCAGGCAGGTACCTGCAGCTCATGCCATCCTCCCTTGTGCATGCCTCGCAAAGTGCCCCCTGGGGGAACCCCTTAAGGCCTGGACCCTTCCCAACCTGGGGAGTTAGGACCCAGCGGGGACACCAGGTGTGGAGAGGCTGCGGCACTAGGAAGTGGTGATGTGGGCACGTGAAGTCGGTCAGTTCTAAAGCCGCCAGTGGCCTGCCACCTGTATCTCTTCCAGGGATCTCTCTCCCCTTCCCTGGTAGCTTTAGCCCTTCCCACACGCGTCCCCTCCCCCTCCCACCCCCCGTGGGTCCCTGTACTGTGTGCACAAGCCCCAACCACGTGGTCTCTCTGCAGAAACCAGTTCGGGCCACAGGGCCATGCACGGGGCCACGCACGGAGACCCGGCCACGTACCACACGATGACCAGCTGGACAAAGTGCAGCAGCTTCTTCTCGCCCTTGCAGGTGGCACAGGTCTTGTTCCCCCGCCCCGAACACGTGCTGCACCTGCGAGGGACAGGGCATCAGTGCTGCTCAGACGCTCCCAGGCCCTGGTGGCTGCTGGGGGCCCCACCCCAAACCCTTGTTCATGGAGGGACTGTGCTGGGCATGGGCTGCTTCCACCTTCTCGCAGTCTAGACCTCTTTCTTCCGGTGGCGGCGCCCCAATTCCCTTCGGAGACCACCCTTCTCCCACCCCGTCTCTAGGGTTCACGGGCTTGCCCACCTCGTTTATGACCAGCTTTGTCCATCTCCCTGGCCCAGTGGCTGATACAAAGATGGGCACGTGACCCAGGGACATGCCATGAGACCCACCCTAGAATTTCTATTGGAAGTTTCAGGAAAGGGATATTCTCTCCTAATGCAGTTACTAAGCGTGGAGCTGCTGATGCTCTCTCTGCAACAACAGGAGACAGCGTGCCTGAGACTAACACCATCACAAAGGAAAGCACAGTGCGGAGTAGAGACAGATTCCCAGGGAGACTGTTTAAGCACCTGGATCCAGCTGTGCCCAAAGCCTTCCCAGAAATCTATTCCTGGGTGTTTGTTTCTGTTCGGGAGGACTATACATTTACGTTTTAGCTGAAGCCGGTTTGAATTGGATTTCTTTCACTTGTAAATGAAAGACACCTGAGTTTCTTTCTCCATCGAAAACCTCCTTTACCAGTCACAGGGGGAAGGCCAGCTAGAACGTCACCATCGGGCTGGTTAGAAGGACGGCCAGGGCCTTCAGGAGCTAAAAGTGTCTTTAACCAACACAACTTTGAATAATTTCACTCTTCACTGTTTCCTGTTTCCCTTTAAAGATTTATAGCCAAAACCGATTTGGCTCAGTGGATAGAGCATCAGACTGCGGATTGAAGAGTCCCAGGTTCGATTCCTGTCAAGGGCATGTACCTTGGTTGCTTCAGTAGGGGGTGTGGAAGAGGCAGCTGATCGATGATTCTCTCTCATGGATGTTTCTAACTCTCTATCCCTCTCTCTTCCTCATTGTAAAAAATCAATAAAATATATTTAAAAAAAAAAAGATTTATAAATACATTAAAGGCAAAGCCCTGTGAACAGAGATGCAGCTTTGTTGGTTGTTTAGTCAATCAACCAGCCTTCCTGGACACCTCCATTCACCCTGCAGTGAGTTAAAAGCAAGGGAATGCCCAGGCCCAGGCCCTCAGGGAGTCAAGAATCTCAGCTTTGGCTGCTTGTCTGTGAGCACTCCCCGCACCGACCTGAGCAGGAACGGGTCTCCTTCCTTACTTTCCCCCTCCTTCCCGCAGTGCCTTGACCCATTGCTTGAGGGGTTCCCGTCTTGTCAGAAATGTCAGGGCCCCTTCAGGAACAGCCAGCCGCTCCACAGACATGTGCCCACAGAGCCTTGGGACCCAGGAGTGACAAGCAGACAGGGATCCTGGTCGCCTTTCAGAAGGGCAGACAATGAAAACCAGGGAGACCTGCTCCTACCTGTGCCTGCCCGACCCCGCGCACAGCTGGCACCGCCCGGGCTGCTTGGCTCTGCGCTTGGCTCCGCTGCAGGAGGGGCACCTCACCTGCCAACACACAGGCCTCAGTACCCCCGCCGCACAGGGAAGTGGGGCAGAGAGCCTCCCACATGCGGTCAAATCCTGATCCGGTGACTGAGCAGCCCTTCCCCTCCCTGGGCCTCCACCCCTCCCCCTGGACAGTGGGAGGGTGGGACGGTGTGATCTTAGGGCCCCTCCGGAGGCTTTCAGGGGCTCTCCGTCCTCCATCCCGGGGGCAGCTGCCTCCCTGCACCTCATTGGACCCTGTAATTCCTGGGACTGTCCCCTAACCAAGCAGCCATGGCGGAGGGAGCAGGGAGAGGGGCAGGTGGCCAAGGGACCTGGTGTTGGACATGGGGTCTCATCTTGGAGAGCCCCCAGAGGTGACTCAGGCAACACTCCCAAGGGGGCTCAGCGTGGGCGCTAGGGACACTCCAAGGGGAGCCTGAGAGAGGAGGGGGAGGAGGAGGAGATGTAGAGGAGGGGGAGGAGGAGGAGATGTAGAGGAGGGGGAGGAGGAGGAGATGTAGAGGAGGGGGAGGAGGAGGAGATGTAGAGGAGGGGGAGGAGGAGGAGATGTAGAGGAGGGGGAGGAGGAGGAGATGTAGAGGGGGAGGAGGAGGAGATGTAGAGGAGGGGGAGGAGGAGGAGATGTAGAGGAGGGGGAGGAGGAGGAGATGTAGAGGAGGGGGAGGAGGAGGAGATGTAGAGGAGGGGGAGGAGGAGGAGATGAAGAGGAGGGGAGGAGGGGAGATGTAGAGGAGGGGGAGGAGGGGGAGATGAAGAGGAGGGGGAGGAGGAGGAGATGTAGAGGAGGGGGAGGGGGAGGAGATGAAGAGGAGGGGGAGGGGGAGGAGATGAAGAGGAGCAGGGTGGAGGAAGGCACAGAAATGACATTGGGAGGAGGCGAACAGCAGGAGTGAAGGCACAGAATAGACTGGGCAGGCATGGCCCCACATGGAGTTCAGGCGGGCAGAGGTGTGAGCACACAGCAGGTGGAAGGAGGGCAGCCATGGGGTGGAGTGGCAGGCAGGCAGAGGGAGGGTGGAGGGTGACACAGCTCAGAGTGACAGTGGTCAGCATGTGCCCAGAGGATTAGGTGTAAATGGGAGAGCTGAGAACACGTGAGGAGCTCGGTGTGACCCCTGGAACCATGAGTAGCCCTGGAAGCGTATGCAGGAAGGCTGATGCCACCACAGCCTGGCTGTGTGCCTAGGGGCCTGTCCGGGGTGGAATAGTGTCCCGTCTCCCCCCACCAAAATACACCCAACAGAGCCTCAGAAAGACCTCATTCGGAACACGTCTTCGCAGACTAAGTAGTTAAAATGAGGTCATCCTGGACTAGGTGGGCCCTAAGTCCAATCCCAGTGTCTTTATTAGGAGGCCAGGAGGCCACAGAGACACCCAGGGAGATGGCCATGGAGGGCGGGGGCGGAGACTGGAGGGATGCAGCCACAAGCCAAGGATGCCCAGGAGTGCCAGCGGCTGCCCAGAGCCCAGGCGGTGGCTCCTCCCTCAGAGCCTCCAGAAGGAACCACCCCCGCTTGACATCCTGATGCTGGACTTTCAGCCCCCAGGACTGTGAGAGAATAAATGCCTTTTGTCCTAAGGCAGTGGTCGGCAAACTCATTAGTCAACAGAGCCAAATATCAACAGTGCAACGATTGAAATTTCTTTGGAGAGCCAAATTTTTTAAACTTAAACTTCTTCTAACACCACTTCTTCAAAACAGACTCCCCCAGGCCGTGGTATTTTGTGGAAGAGCCACACTCAAGGGGCCAAAGAGCTGCATGTGGCTCGTGAGCCACAGTTTGCCGACCACTGTCCTAAGGCACCGTTTGTGGTGATCTATCACAGTAGCCCTCGGAAACTGGAAGCCCTACAAACATGACCTTCTCTGCACCCATCACTCTGCACTCTGAGAGGAGGCCACTGTGCCTCCCCCCGGCAGGGGACCCTGGTGGGAAGGACCCAGGCCTTAGTCCTCTTGCTGGGCCTAGGGCCAAGCAGGTTACTCAATGAATGCTCATAGATGGGTGAGAAAAAAAGAGCAAAATTAAAATCATAATCCATCAAAGTGAAAAAGGCCAATAGAAACCAGCCAATCCCCCTTTCCCATTTTACAGGTGGGAAAGCGGAGATCCAGCCAGGGGAATGACTTCCTGGGTCCCACTGTTAGGCCCCCATCCCAACCCTCTGCCCCAGGGGGCTCCTCCGCCCACACTGCACTTACCGTCAGCCACACAGACTCACCATGGAGGCCCCGTGGCAGCCGCTGCACTTGTAGTGTCCCCGCCCGTGGCACTTGTGGCATTCCTGAGGGAGCAACGCTTTCCTCGGGTCCAGTTTCTCAGTCACCTGCCGTTTCCCCACCCCCACCCCCGCCCCTGCCCCCATGTCACCATCCCAAACAGAGGGGGCACCATTCAGGGCCAGAGGGGGACGACGGCCTTTCCACCGACCAGCATCCCCGAGGGCCGTGACTGCCGAGCCCAGGAGAGCTCAGAGCCCGGCCGGCCCGGCCTGGGTGCTGGGAAGGGGACCTGCTCTCCCAGCCCTGCGTCCTAACTCACGCCCAGGCGGAGTCGCAAAGGCCTTGTCCTTTGTCCACTGAGTGGCCGAGGGGGCTGAGGGGGCTCTGGGAGCAGGAGCCGTAAAAAAAATGGACGGCATTTCTGTGAACGGCAACGAGCTAGCTACTGGAGTGGAATCGCTGGTCAAAACAACGGACACCCCACTGAGCTCCCGGTGTCCTCCGCCTCACAGCGCGAGGAAGACGCACGCAGGGGCACATCGCAGGCCTGAGTCCCCGTCCACAGTGGAGACCAGACAGGCGATCAGCTGAGACACCACAGGAGGGGTCTCGGCCGTGCTCCTGTCGTAGGCTCGGTTACCCTTGCTTTGGGGCATGATTACGTTCCCGTGAAACAGGAGAGAAGTTAAACCCTGTCCCCCTACTAACTTCCACACGTTTTCCCTTTATATGTTTCCTTCACCCCTTCACCCGTCCACTGTCAGGCCACAGGGGGTGGGTGGGGTGGGGGCGGATAAAGGCTCAGAGGGTTTAGGAATGTGAATGCTCGGCATTTAAAGCTGGAGACAGACTGTGTCACTGGGACCGTTCTTTTGCTGTGTGAGTAGACAGCCAAGAAATAGCCCCACAGCCCGGGTTTGGGGTTTCCTTTCCAGAAGGCTAACGCTCCAGGAAACCCACAGCCTCTGGAAAACCAGCCCGGGAGAAGCGGGCGTTAGGACAACCGTGTTACCTTGACCAGCGACGAGTGAGGGACCTGGAACTTCCTGGTTTCCTCCTGGAACATCGGGGGGACCTGGACCTTGATGTCCCAGAGCTTGGGGGAGGTCCCTCTTCTCGGCCCGTCCACCACGTGGTCTGACACAGAAGCGGTCGTTGTAAGAACAGGAAGCGGCAGCCAGGATAAGCTTTCGTTTAGTCGCCAAATAGCGCGAGCCTTCCCTTGGTGCCAGGCGTAGGCCAGACCCTGGTGCTGCCGGGAAGGGTAGGCAGGGGCCCCCTGGAGTCCGTAGTGAAGCACCCCAGCTTTGGGGTTGAAGAGTCTTGGGTTTGACTCCTGATTCTTCTACTTCCTAGCTGTGTCACACTAGACAAGTCACCTGACCGCTCTGACCTTCTACGGTCTCATCTCTAAAATGGGGATAATTTCCCACTCACCACAGGGGACGGCCCTGACAATTACACAGACGGCATCTACGTGCCAGCGCGGGGCCGGCACAGGCTGGGGCGCAATACACAGGAGCTATCCCCCCTATTGTCTCCTCTCCACCGGCTTCTTCCTCTTCTGTCCAAGGGGACAGACGCAGCTACAACCCGAGGGTAAGCGCTTTGGCGAAGAATCACATAAAGGGCTCCGAGACCCCGGAAGATTGCCTCCCTCTGCTGGGGACCAGAGAGGTGGGCGAAGAAATGCCGAAAGGCTTCAGAAAAGAGGCAACTTGTGAGCTGAGACGTGAGGGATGAAGCAAAGTGGCCGGCAGAGGAAAAGGTAGGGTGTGGGCTTCCTAGACAGAACCCAGGGCCTTCGCGGGGTCGGCTGGAGTGGGGCTGGCTCAGTGAACGGGGACCTGGGGACCAGGCAGCAGACGCCTGAGCACACACGCTGCCAGGGCCATCTCCCCCGGGGCAGCACGAGCCTTGGCCTTCTCAGCGCCTTCTGCTAACTACTTTCTGGACAGCGAGCAGGCTCTGAGAACAGCATGGGGAAGTGAGTCTCCAAGATGAAAGCCTCCCTCTCATTTTGCAGGGGACAGCGAAACAGAGGCCTGAGCGGAGCTTCTCATTCAGGTTAGTGCTAAGACCAGCCCCTGCCAGATCTGCTCCCAACGACACCCACTGCGGACAACTCACTAGTGAAGGGCTGAAATGTCCATTCACTGATCCTGGATTCGCTGAAAGTCTCCAGTCGATACTGCAGAGAAACAGACACCATGTCCACCCACACACTCCCGGCCCGTTCGGAACGCTGAGCGCTGTGCAAAGCGGGGAGCCCAGGGGTCCCGCACACCCACGGGGGCTGCTCAGAGCAGGCTGCCCACAGAGACTTCTGTTCCAGCCGCCCCGGCACGGCAGCAGGGAGGTCCGCGGGCCCAGGAAACCTCCCCGATTTCAGCTCACAATGGGGCGGTTTCAGGTCCCCGTTTCTTTACACGAGGAATGTTCTAGGAGGCAAGTTTTGGAGCAGCAACTGCCTCTGACAGATGGAGGCCCCTGGAATCCATCCACTGCCCAGAGGATCCCCTTCCAGAGGAAGTGATCTGCCTGACGCCAACACCCTCCTGGATCCTCGTCCTCGGAATCACACAGCGGAAAGGTATCGAGGACATCACCTGGCTCCTTTTTCCTCACGTGAGGAAACAGAGACCCAGAGAAGTCAGTGGACTTGCCCAAGGCCACACAGCTCCGCAGAGGCCTCTCTCCCCAGATCCCTGCTCTAACCAGTCCCCGCCAGGCCAGCCCCTTACCCTGCACCCAATCTGGCCCCTTAACCTACATACACCCCTAGACTGGCTCCTTACCCTGCACCCCCCCAGATTGGCCCCTTACCCTGCACATGGCCCCCCAGGCCGGCCCCTTACCCGGCACAGCATCTGCTGCTTCATCTGCTGGATGACCAGGTCCCTGGCGGCTGAGCGGCCATAGCAGCATTTGGAGCTCACGAAGCTGAGGAGGGCTTCACGCGCCACCTCCTCCGTCACCATGGGGACTCTGCTGGGAACAGAGCAGAGAGGCAGGGGGTCCGGGGAGGGAAAGCACTCAGGAGTCCCTCGATGGAGGTGAGTCAGCAAAAAGGTCCGTGGGAACCGGTGGGACAAGGACAGTAACACTGAGTTACGGAAGTGTGAGCTCAGGAGTCGGCTGATAGAATCTCAGAAATAAAAACAAGAAGTTACTTAAAGATGAATTATGCCATTTTGAGATGAGGGAATGGACAGCCCGAGAAGGCATCACAGCTAAGGAGGTGGGACTAGTGAGGTCCCTGCCCTCAGGAGCTTGGCCTCGGTCAGAGGAGCTGTGAGCCCCTTCACGGGAGGGCCGCAGCCAGGAACCGGCCAGAGCCAGTGACTCACCATGAGCTGGGCCAGAGCGCGGCCAGGGGAAGGCAGACCCTCCTCGGCCTGCTCTCTGGACACGTGTGTGTGTGCGTGTGTGTGTGTGTGTGTGTGTGTGTGTCCCGCTGCAAAGCTCTTCACTGAGGCCCAGCTGCCAGGTCCCCTCCTGTAGAAGCCCTCCCGCCCAACCTCTCCTCCTTCCTTCCCACTCACAGCTTCACACGCGTCTCCACAGCAGCCCAGCCCCAGTGTCAGCCCCTCTCATGCGCATTGCGTCTCCAGCCCCAGGCTCTGGCTGAAGGCTTATGCCCCGTGCCCTCCCGTCCGCTCCCAACAGGGAGGAGAGGTGGCCGAGGGGAGGCCCTCCAGGCTGCCCCTCTCTGGGCACAGAGCTGGCTGTAACCTTGGAACTCCGCCCCAGTCCTCGCAAAACAAGGAGGGCGTGGGCCTCTCCGGGGAGCAGCTGGCTTTTCTGCAGAGGGCCAGAGAGGAAATAGTTCAGGCTCTGCCTCTGACAGATGGAGGCCAGCTAGTCTGTGTCTCAGCCGCTCACCTCTGCCGTTGCAGTGGGAACGCAGCCAGTGAGACAGAGGAGAGGGCTGTGTTCCCATAAAACTTGATTCACAAAAGTGGGTGGTGGGCTGGGTTTGGCCCCGGGGCCATAGTTTACAACTATGGTTTTCAACACTGGTTTGGTAGCCAAACAGCGTGCCATGGTAAGATACGGGGGGGAGGGGCAGGGGAGGGCCCTCTGGGGGTAAGGGTGATGGAGAGGTTTACCACCAGTGAACTTGGCTCTGGAAGGGTCACCAGGTCACAACTGCAGCTCACCTGTGTTGCAGGAACGAGGACCAGCATGTTTGTTGCTGGGGTCTCCGCGGGGCCTCCAAGGGTGGGAAGAAGATCTGCTGTCCTGGAAGAGAGGGGGGAGTCAGGGTTCGCTCAGAGGAATGGACACCTGTGGTGAAAGCAGGAAAGACAGGTGAATGTGAGGGGGAGCAGGTGAAGAAAAGAATGACGGGTACCAGGTCAGGAGCATTCTGACCTAAAGGGTCATGGTCATGGGATGCTCGTGGACACAGGGCTTATGCCCATGTCTTCTCATTCCCTCCTAACAGGGACAGGGCCTTTCTGGGCCCCCAGAGGAAAGGGGAGCTAGCCCAGCACCAACCCGTTCCAGGGATGTCCCCCCAAGCAGCAGAAGCCCCAGGAAGAGGGCGTAGGAACCGAGACTCCACAGACTTACCGCCTCCTTGAACAAGGCAGTCATAGCTGGGCAGCCTCTCCAGGAGCTCCACTGGAGGCACCAGAGGGCTCTCGGCCTCGAAGCTGAGGTCGGCCGCACCTGTAGAGAGATGGGTGGTCCGAGCCTTAGGGAGGGAGGGAGGGGCATCTACGGTGATTTCACAGGAAGCCAACAGGTGAGGGCAGGCCCATTCCTAAAAGCCTCACCTTAACCAAGCCTGGCTCTCTCTGGCACCCTCAGGAGCCAGAACACATCTGCAGGGTGAGAGGGAGGCGTGGGGGTGAGTAGCTGCAGCAGTAACAATAAGGATGGAAAAACCTTGAGAATGGCAGCTCCTGGCTGATGGCCACCTGCCCTTTGTGACACCAGGACAGGTGCTTTATAAACATAGTCATAGGCCACCACCCTGGAGACAGATTCTGAGTTACAGTGGTCACACTTCCTTAAGGCCTCTTTCTTTCTCTTTGAAACATGGGTCTATGTCTCCTGGCCCCGCGCCCCAAGGGAACCCCTACCCTGATCCAGACACCATTCAGGGCAAACCAGCCAGTCCCTATCCATGCACCAGGCCTCTATCCTATCTAATAAAAGAGCAATATGCAAATTGGCTGTCACTCCAACACACAAGATGGCTGCCCCATGTGGTCAAAGATGGCTGCCCCCATGTGGACACAAGATGGCCACCACAAAATGGCCAGCAGGGAAGGACAGTTGGAAGGAAAAAGGCCTTCAAGGGAGGGCAGTTGGGGGTGATCAAGCCTGCAGGGGAGGGCAGTTGGGGGTGATCAAGCCTGCAGGGAAGGGCAGTTGTGGGTGATTAGGCCAGCAGAGAAGGGCAGTTAGGGGGGACCAGGCCTACAAGGGAAGGCAGGTTGGGGCAAACGGGCTGACAGGGGAGCAGTTAGGCATTAATCAAGCTGCAGGGGAATGGTTAGGGTGTGATCAGGCTGGCAGGCAGAAATGGTAAGGGGCAATCAGGAAGGCAGGCAGGCGAGAGGTTGGGAGCCAACAGTCCTGGATTGTGAGAGGGATGTCTGACTGCCTGTTTAAACGAGTAGTTGGACATCCCTCGAGGGGTCCCAGATTGGAGAAGGTGCAGGCTGGGCTGAGGGACACCTCTCTCCCATGCACGAATTTCATGCACCGGGCCTCTAGTGATGTTATAAATATCCAAATGACCCTTAGCAGAAAAAATGTTCCCACCCATGCTCTAAAGGAAGTACTGTCTAAAGCTCCTGCTCTGGGACATCCAAATTATAAACGTCCCTTCTTCCTTTTCACAAATGAAAGTAAAGGAAATGCCTTAGGAGTTCTAACTCAGAAACATGGAGCTCATCATAGACCTATAGGATATTACAGTCAGCAACTAGACTGAGTAGCAAAAGGGCTCCCTCCTTGAATGAGGGTGATATTTGTTACAGCCATGTTCTATAAACAGACAGAAGAGACAGTAATGGGCTCTCCTTTAAACATTTATGTTCCTTGTTCTGTTGAATCTTTGCTGAACTCTCATCACACTCAACACTTCTCTATCAGTTAACTGGCTTCTTATGAAATGCTCCTGATCTCTGCACCTAATGTGACTTTAACTCATTGTAATCATCTTAAATCTGCAGCTTTATTACCCTCTTTACAGGATGAAAACACCTACAATTGTGTTTTTGCTTACTTACACCTTTTTGCTCCTAGGAATGATTTACAAGAAACTCCTAATGACAATGCTGACTTACTTTGGTTCACAGATCTTATCTGAAGGATGAACAGGGACATTTCCAAGTTGGATATGCAATAACTTTCACAGTGGATATAATTGAAAGTTCTTATCTACCTGAAATAAGATCTGCCCAGCAACCCTCTAACTTGGGCTTGTCAATTGGCCAAAGATCGAGTAGCCGATATTTACACTGATAGCGGCTATGCATTTGATGTAGCTCAGGACTCTGGAATGTTATGGAAGCAGTGAGCTTCTTAACTTCCTCAGGAAAGCCCATAAAAATGGAAAGTCAGAGGAGGGGGTTTATGTGAGTGGGAATATCTGGAATAGTTTCAACAATAAAGGTGCATTTTTTTTAATAGGAAACTGATTGCGGAATTTGTAGATGGCATTCAGCAACCAAAACAATTGACAATTAAAACCCCAGGGCATTCTAAAGCTACCACCATGAGCAAAAGGAAATCTTTCCACTGATGCTGCAACTTAGCAGGCAGCATTGAACAGTCGTGTTATCCAGGCCTCAGAATGTTCTTTGCTTTCTATTAAATCAATAAAAGATTATCTTTCCCCCTATCAACAGATAGTTACAGAGGAAGAAAAGGGAACATGGCAACAAAAAGGGGGAACCTTTGACCCAGAAAGACGGATATGGCTTGGACCCAATCGGAAACCTATTTTACCTATAGGGGCCCAACTCCCTACGCTTCAGCATGTGCCTGAGCTAACACATTGGGGTTCTGAAAAGATTATCTCAGGGAGTAAACAATATTACTGAAAGCCTTCTCCTGCTGTAGCTCATAATGTGTACAGCAGATGTTTTCTATCCAAAATAACCCAGGAAAACCACTCCAGGGATCCCAAGGACATTTCCCACTTCCTTTGGGTCCATCTGAAATATGATAATTGGATTTTATCCAAATGCCACCATTTCATGGATACAAATATATATTTGTTATGATTTGTATGTTTGGGGTCCATTCAGTATACCCCTTGCAGGAGAGCAACAGCCTTAAAAGTTGGTAAATTGTTATTAGAAAATATAATTCCCAATTGGGGAATTCCCCATGAATTACATAGTGACCAGGGGACTCAGTTCACTGAACAAATAATAAAATCATCTGTAACATTTGGCCTATACCACAGCATTTTCATTATGCCTATTACCCCCAGTCTTCAGGACTTGTGGAATGTACCAATGGTACAATCAAAATTAACTAGCCAAATTTCAGAAGCCTTTCATCGTCCCTGACAAAGACTTTTCAAGGATGAGAAGCCGACCACAGAGGCAGACAGCTACACAAGACGTCAAGTAGGCCTGAATGCTCAAAAACTGACACTGTTCAAACCTTGTTCTTTATATCATCTAATTGCTATTGATTAAATGTACATAAAATGATTTTTATATTGTTATTATCCTCCTTATTGTTTCATAGTGGAAACAGTATCTGTCTTCCTAGACCCTTTCCCTTATTAGACATGAAAAATTTAACTTGGGTACCTGCTAATCTTTCCCACCTACTAGACAATGATATTCTGATTATCAGCTATGATAATGAAGTTAACACTTTGCTGGCCACACACAGGTCTTCTCCTATAAATATAAGCATTGGTACATTTTTTTTTCTGGATATATCTATTATAAAGGACCCAACTTGGGCAAATACCTACAAGAATGTCTCCCTGATAAATCCCCTGGTAGAATTATATATGGATCTAATCTATCAGTATTGTATACCTATAGGAATGGATGATGAAAGGCTAAAAAAAAAACCTGGATGTGATGGGGAAAAGCTTGCAGTGACCTGCCCTGTCTGTCATAAAATACCTTGTCCTCAGACTCACCAGCCATGCTCTTGTTGCTGGATGTCCGTGAAATCAGAAAAAAATCAATAGGTCCCCATTACAAAAATTATGAGGATTACCTGGTAGGTAAATATGTCTGTAACTACTCCTGGACGCTTGTTAGAAGCTCTATGGAATACTCAAACTCTACTCATTTTGGAGCTACCTCTACCCACTTAACTATAGCATAGGAAACTCAATATTTTGGGGTTCATTCAGTATACCCCAACTGCTCCCAAACCATAGCTACCCAATGGCAATAATGTTCCCGGTGGATCCAATAACATTGGCCCCCTAAAGGAAACAAAAGGGGAATACTTGGAGGAGTGGGGGCTGGCCTTGGTATCCTGGGACAAGCTGAACTTGCAGCTAATGAAGAACGTCATTCGTTAGAAAAAGACTCCACCTAAAATAGGTCATATGGAGGGAATGCTGTTTCAAGAAGAAGGAAAAGGGTGGGAAGCAGCATGGAAAGGACAATAAAGCCTTAGCTCCATGGATAGGACAGACTATAAAAACGCATGCACAAATCCAACAATGAGAACATGCCTACATCCTAACTTAACAGAATCTATTGTCTATGCCCATGCAAATGGAATCTGAAATAGCTATGAAACAATGGCCAACAATAATGGGTACAGAAGCTCAGCCAGACACATATGAGACTCATACAGTTCTTCTGGATTTTAGAAAAATTGGAATGGGAAATGCGATCTACTTGGGTATATTTTAAAATCCAGGCACCTCAGTTAGATCCTAAGCTTAAATTCTCAGGAGTTCAACTGGCTGGCATAGGGACCATCTTCAATAACACTAGAATACTTCCAATGAGAAGTAAATGGACCATATTTAAATATAATAAATAATGGGAACCTATCTCACAATCTGATTGTGGCACTTTGCACCACACCCACATCCATCCTGGCCTCTCAACTGTTTCATTTGCTTACAGATGTTTCCCAGCTACAAAGGCCCTCTCTATCTGCAAATATCTTTCTGTTTCTGCTTCCTTTGTAAGTTTTCTGCAAGGAGATACATTACAGTCAAAAGAGGAGATGTAAGTGGGTTACACATACAGATGCATCTGTGTTTGAGGACAAAGACCTTTCTCATTTGGGGAGAGGAGTAGAACGGGGCTGTTCACTGGTCATGTGTTTCAGCATTTCAGGCTCAAATGAGGCTGCCATCGTCCTAAAGCTTCTCACGGAGGCCTGCCCCTGGGTACTGATATCCTGATGTGACAATATGGAACTATTTATACCTTGGTTCCCTATGTTTTGTTTCTAATGCGTTTATTAGCATCCTGAGCTATGTTAGCCACCAGGGACCCAGAGACCCACAAACATTCTCTATAAACAGGCAGGTGGTAAGTATTGTGGACTTTGTGAGCCAAATGATCTTCCTCAATCACTCACCTCCGTTATTGTGGCCTCAAAGCAGCTGCAGACACTACTTAATTGAATAAGAGCGGCTTTGTTCCAAGAAAGCTTTGCAAACACAGGCCTTGCGTCAGATTTGGCCCTTGAAGACGTATTTTGCCCAC